CCAAAGATTCCCTTGCCTCTTCTAGACAGGTGGATCCCAACCCTCCCTAGCTATAGCCATCGAAGAACATCTTGTCATAAAAGCCAAAGCCCTCATGATGGCACCAGCCACAAAGCCAGAAGTTGATTCACATTACATGTTTACTTCTGGCTGCACCCTTTCCTCTAACTGGTAAGATGGAAGGAAAGATAACTTGGGCACCAATACTTTTTGGTTGTACACACAGGGCGGTGTAGTCTTCCTTGATTCTGCCCAGGTTCTAGCTTGTGGCGTCATTCATGCCCACACAAAACAGTGGCAATGGATAGTAGTCTGTGCTCTTGACAAGTTGTGGCACCCTCTTGGCAACACTTCGGACCTTAGCTCCAGGAATACAACATACATCTTGTGATTCCTCGTCAGGCTGTCAGTTGGGCACCTCAGTGCCCCTCAACAGAGAGTCACCCACTACGAGCACTCATTGCTTCCTTCTGCGGTATTCACTGTGTGCTGCTGGGACAGTTTCTCCTTGCAGACCGTGCTCGTGGGTGTCTACAGCTGTTAAAGCTTCATATCTGGTTTTGGTCTAGTCAACATCTACGGCTAGAACTGTTTTTTTGCCCTCTATAATAAGGACAGTAAAAACAGAATATGTTTTGTGCACCTGCAAATGTGGTTGAAAACTAACAGGATCATACATTTTAAAAGTTATTGGATTTGCTCCTGGGTAATCTGGGAATCCAACCTCACCATTTCTCAACATACATTATATTCTTGACACTATATAGCCTCATGTTTGTGTAAAAAGAGTAAGCTATCCTAGCAACACTGCTAAGGATTCACACTGCATGTCTCAGCTATTTCTTACAGAAATTATGCTGGCTGCGAAGACTCAGAAACCAAAGAAAGGGCTTGTTATAGATTTCAGCCCCTACTAGCAGTTTCTTATTCATGGTATAAACAGGTGAACTATTTGATATTCAAAAGATAAAAAAAATTAAAGAATATAGACAAAAAGTCTCAAGTCTCTTATCACTTCATTTCACACTGTTCTACACATCTCCAAAATGTCTTTCATCTACCTATGCACTATTACTTTTAACTAATATTTCCCTCCACGTGGGTCTATAAAGCTGTTGATGCTGCTAACCCGGGATCTTTTGAGCAGAAGGAAAAGCATTTTAGTCATACTGGATTTACTACGTAGGCTCGCTGAAGCACGGAGGTGAAGTGTCAGGTCCAGCAGATGCCCTGGCCGTGACTTGGGAAGGAGGGAGCCGGGAAGGGGCGGGGGGGAGCCCCGCCGGTCCC